ACGGGTCTCTGATGGCAGGAGAAGCGGCAGGGGGAAGCTGCTCCGTTCCCCGGCTCTGTTGTCATCACGGCGCGTGTTTCCCTTGGCTCTTAGGATCCAGAAACTGCCGAGGCTGCTGGTCGCATCGTCCGATGGACACCTTTACATCTACAATTTGGACCCTCAGGACGGAGGAGAATGTGTCTTAATCAAGACCCACAGGTGAAGAGACTGGTTTTCACAAAAGCCTTTGAAGAGCGGGTTGCGGCGGGTTGTCGCGGGGCCAGGAACGACGAGCTTCAGGGCGCTCGCTTATCTTCCTCACTGGCCTTCTCAGGGGCAAACCTCGAGCGGGCACCCGCTTTGTGCTGGGCTCCATGTCAGGCGCCCTCACCACTCAGGACGCTTCTGGAAAAGCGCTCGAAGAAAGGGAATGTCTCCCTGCGGCCTTTTCTCCTCATACGTAATGGGTGCTCAAAAATGGTGCCCAGACTGAATCGAGAAGTTCTCTTGACGTCTGTGACCGAGAGCAAGGCGACCTCTACCTGCTGTGACAGGACAGCACCAGCTGCCCCTGCCCCCTCGGCCTCGGAGCCCCCCCTCGCGAGCCTGGCTTAGCGTCCTTGCCAGGTGCATCAGGAAGAGCCGAGGGCCGATCTTCGCTCAGTAAATATTAGAGAAAGGGGTCATTGTGAAGTTGCATGATTGACCCCCAGCCGTTGAAGGTCACTGGCAGGTCACGTGACCCAGCAGTGTCCGGCTAGCTCTATAAGCTCGAGTGGGCAAGCCTGAGCTTCCTAGTGCTTTTCCTTCTGGCCATAGCCTGGGTATGTGATGATCTCTCTTCTCTCCTCCCTCCCCTCGCACCCCTCCCCCCCAAACTGCTGCAATTAGCTTGCTCAGCTCAGGAACAACAGAAGAAAATAAAGAAAATGACCTCAGACCTTCATTACCTCAGTCTTACGCAGCAACTGTAGCCAGACCGAGCACCTTGGCCGCCTCCACGGTGCCAGGTGAGTGGCTGTGGGGGCCTGGCCGGGGGCGCCGCGGGGGCGCGTTTCTCACAGCGCTGTCTTCTCCGTCACCTACGGACGGAACGCTCTCCCTGAGCCACTTACCTCCTCCCAGGGGCGGCCACGAGAGCAGCCTTTTAAAGTCAGGTCCCTAAACCTGGCAGGCAGAGCCCAAAGTTGTCGCCTGCCCCACAAGCAGTGTCAACCGTTGCTCTCTCTGAGAACTGGCAACAGGTGGAGAGTTGGAGGTGCCTGGGGTAGAGGGTGGGTCAGGACAGCCCCTCCGGGGGCTCAGAGGCCACACCCGGTGGGGATTTTGACTCATCTGAAGCAGTCTCTCCGTTCAAAAAGGCAAAGGCCTCCCATCCAAGTACTAACCAGGCCCGACCCCGCTTAGCTTCCGAGCAAAGGCAGCTTCCCGTGGGTTCCCTGGAGGTCCCGCCCCGGGGTCATGGCGTAAGAAGGGCAGACCGTGGGGCTTCTCTCATGTCTCATTCTTGGTTTCCAGGTTATTCTGAGGACGGCGGAGCCCTCCGAGGAGAGGTTATTCCTGAACATGAGTTTGCGACGGGACCAGTGTGTCTTGATGATGAGAATGAATTCCCCCCTGTGAGCAATAGGAATCCCTAAAAGAGTGGCTCGGTCTGTGTGCTTAGAAGGAAACGTTCACCTCGGGCAGGAGGCGAAGTCACTTTCCCTGTTCTCTGGTGCTGCAAGAGCTAACCTCCCCTCTAACAGTCAGAAAGCCATAGCGGGTGCTCTATGCTGCAGGCCCCACGGACGAGCCGGCAGGTGTCAGGCTAAAGCTGGCAGCATTCGAATAACCGAATACTAATCCAGGGAGTCGCAGCGGCCTCACTGCATTCGGGGGCCTGGAATCCTTAACTTGGCTTCCCTGGCAGTCTCTGTGCTGCTCACAGGAGGAATTCGTGCCTGCGTAAACTCCCGTTTTCCTGAGGCTCCTTTAAGGATGTCCTTGCAGAATACTGCCGCCTTGTTGCTAAAGACGATGATCTAACAGGGCTGGGTCCGCTGTGCTCAGCAAGGGAGCTAGACCCCCACCCTCCTCCGGCTCTCACGGCCCCCTGGGCTGACCCCAGGCTCCCTGCGGCCGTGGGGAGGGTGGGAGGCTCAGTGGAGCGCTCCCCTGCCTTTCCCTGCATCCTGCTTCAGCCGTTCTGGCAGCGAGCGCCCTCCGGCTTGGCCGGGTGCAAGGCTTGGCTTCTTCCAGCATCCCCGGCCAAAGAGGATTCTCGCCCTGGGGGGCTGCCAGGGCCTCCTTAGCTTCTGACTCTTCAAGCTTCCATTTCGAGCAACACGCAGACGGCTCTCGTGAGCTGAGGTTAAAGAGTGGCACAGATAAACCAAAAATCGTTTAGACTTGGAAGCCGTGTCGGGGCCCAGACTTAGCCGACGGAGTCACCCTCCTGGAGCCAGACTGGGCGCTGCCTCAGGGCCCGTTAGGTCCTGGTCTGTGGTGTTTTTCTCCTGAGCGTTATTTCACGTCAGTTGAAATTCCATTTGCAAAAGGATGGGGTGCAGGCGTAGTTTCTTTCTTGTATAAGTCCTGGGACAATCTGGTAAGCCCAGTCAGCTTTAAAAAAAAAAGGCTGTTTTGGGGCCCTCCGTGCATGACAAGAGGGCTGGGTTTGGGATTGCCCATAAAGGCTCTGTGGATTGCAGCTTGAGATTTACATATCTGGCTTTTAACAGGTTGCCAAACCCAGTGCCAACAAGTTCAGTTTATATTTTAGGGGTGGAGAACAGTGGTTCTTTAAAATACTCATTATAAATATAAAAACAGCTGTTGGCTTGCTGCCTCCTGATAAACCAGTTGTTTGGCCTTTGGGTTCTCATGCCCCGACTAGCCATAAGGGGAGTTCTTCCGTCCCCCGCCAAAAGTTGGCGGTCATTTACCTGATGTTGTATCTCCTAGGAACCAGAGCAGAGCAGATGCAGTGGGGATAAATGTGTCCCACTCTGTCCGGATTTAGAGCCTTCACCCACTAGGTTCCGTTACAGTAATTTTGGTGAAAGTCTGTGACTGCTACAAAAGACTATTAGGTTATTAATTAGATCCTTAAGGGTCATCAAAGTAAACCCTACAGCCTCTGTACTCACACAATTGGAGTACTTCAGATACCGGCTTTCAGGAGGTGGTCCCCTGCCAAAGAACACCTGTATAAAATAATAGGTACACTGTGTAGATCATTTGTTTGGAGATAAAAAAAAAAATGGAGATGCTTAAAATCTAGTGGTAGAACTTGTCAAGAGGCCTGTTCACCTAAACACTGCCAGGAAGCTGGGTCTGAGCCACTTGTCCTGTCTCTCTCTTAAGGACCAAATGTGTGAAAGTTGGTTTAACTTGCATCCGGGATTTTTATTTAGACACAAGGAAGGCTTCCTGCCAGTGAGAGCAGTGATCACTGAATGAGATCCCTGTTAGACCCTAGAGCTGGTGGTTGGGGTCATGGGGGGCCGTCAGGCCCCAGCCCTGCCCTCCAGCCTGCAGGCAGACGGGGAGGACAGGACCGAGCTTCTGCACGCTCCCGATGTCGTGGCAGACAGCCTTCTCCATCTCACTACATGGGGGTCAGAGGCGTGAGGGCCACGGGGATGTCCCCTCGACATGGACCATCTCACGCCCTTGTTGGCAACAATGTCCAACGGGAGAGGAGGTGCTGTACAGCTCCTCTCCCTGCCTTATTCTGCATCGGTAGGCCTATTATGGGTACCCGGCCAGAATTCACACCTCTACCCACATCCCTTCAAAACTTCCGGGATTGTGAAAGCGTCTTGGAGTCTCAGCTTGGTTTAAATCCCTTCTCTTTCGGTTCAGATCATGGCCTTGCCCAGCTAATCTCGAGGGGCTCCCCGGGCCTTTGCCTTCAGAACACAGGCATTGCGAGTGGGTCTTTTTTTTTTTTTTTTTTTTAATATACTCACACTTCCCTGGATATGATCACTCTTATCTCCTCGAGATTTACTTTGCTCCATAAACAATGAGAGAAGAGAACTGATCATTTCTGGTACCTTAGAAAGGTGCCATATTCAGGAAGCAGTTTTTGTTGCAAGAACACGCCAATCTTTACAAGTCTGCGTATCCTCTGACACTAGTCTTATTCTCTTGAGCAAGAGTAAGGGAATTGGGACCAAGGGTATTTACTGACTTTTTAATAGTGATTTAGCAGTCTGTGTTTACAAGTAAGATGAGCCTTTAAAAAAAAAAAGCATATGCATATAAATACACATACACGCGTATTTTATACAGAGTATTTTTTGAAACTGTGCCATACTCGTTTACACCTAAGTAAGATGGGTGGATTTTCTGTGGCCATTGAGTGAGGGTCAGTCTGTGGACATACGGAAAACCTCTGCAGTGCCCAGCCTCCCCCTGCTGACCCCGCATGGGCACAGATCTGTTGATAATGCAGCCTGCCTAACCGCCTCTTCCTGGAAAGAGTAAGGCCATTCTGTTTTGATTTTGGTAGATAATCTTGTGCCGTGGAAGTCAGAAGGGCAAAACGAAGCAGTCATGATGAGAAGCGCACCTCAGAAATCAGGACACCCCCTATCAGGTGGTTTTGGAGAAAACAAGGAAGGTGGAAGAATGGAGTACAATTGTGTGTGCGCAAAGGGGGGCAGGTGCCACCGCTTAAGCCACGGGACGTGGTTCACGGCTCTCCAAGCTCTCCTCTGCCCTGGTTGCCAGTGGGTACGGGAGACACCATGTACACATCCTGCTATTCGAAATACGTTACAGCCACAGTGTCGATGCTAACTAACCGTATTGGTCTATAACCGGAACTTCCTATGTTAAAGGGCATCCTTTTTAAATGTATGCCATGTAAAAATGTACTTATAGGAAAATCTCTTTGAATTGTATTTCTTGTATATTACATACATATAGAGGACTGTTTTCAGCCAGGCAAAGTATTTTTGCAGTGATTGCAATAAGTCATTTATTACCTTTGAGTCCCATTTAGGATGCTAATAATAAAATCATGGCAATGCATTTTTGAGGTTTTAAATTTTTATTTCTTACTGGTTTTAGGAAGCAGGAAGGATGCCTAAAATCTTTAGAATACAGTCGTTTGATCTTTAACAGGGGAGGAGGGAGGCGGGCAGGGCCGTGGATTTATCTGTGGGCTCTTCTGCGCTGAGACTCGGAAACATCTAACTCTGTCCTAAGTCTGCATCCATGCTGCTCAGGGCACCCCCCAGCAGCCGCCCAGAAATGGAGCATCTCAGGCCCCACCCCAGACCTACTGAGTCAGAGCCTGCCCTTCCACGAGCTCTCAGCTGAGAGGTATGCATATTAAAGATGGAGAAGCAGTGCCCTAGATCCCAGCTGGGATGAACCTATCCTAAAGCGACCAGCCAAAGTGGGTACAGAAGAAGGAAACTAAAATGCATTCAGTGCCTGTGCCGTGGCAGGTCATGTGGCAGGCATTTTCGTAAATCACCTTCTTTCGTCCCCAAAATCAGCTCGCGAGCTAGGTTAAATAATCACCCATGTTCAAAAGCCAGGGTCTTGAACCAGGGCTAACCCCGAAGCCTGGGTGCTCTCCTCCTGAGCTCCGCACGCAGGAGGGCCTGCGGGGGGCGCAACGCGGGGGCTGCGGGACAAAATTCTGAGACTTGGTTTTTACAGCATCTGGAGCTGGAACTTGCCCTCCCTTCCTGACATCTTCTGCCTGGGGGAAAATCGGTCCGTCAGATGCTCTGGCAACGGCAAGCGACGTGGTGGGGATTGCAGCAGGGGGTCACGGAAGGATCGCGAGTATAATCCGCTCTGGAGGTGCTGTCAACAGCAATGTCTAGGAGAACATCTGCAAGAACCTCTCTGACCTTGGGCACTAGGCCCTGGTATTCGGCACTACCTCTGTCCAGAGGCACAGCTTCTGCAACATCGTCTTCTAGGTTAAAAATCAGGGGAGGCTCATGATGCTGCTCAGGCCCCACGTCCCCATCACAGGCTCTGGCTCCGCCTAGAGAGAGCGTGACAACAAATACCCCATCAGACCCAGCTTTGGCCTTATATTGGAAAGAGGAGAGCTGTGATTGATTATACACTAACCCAACCATCCCAGGACTTGAATATTCAAATGATTATTCTGCCTGTCAAAGAAACCACCTTGAGATTTTAGGTGCTCATTCCAGTGATGCTCCCACCGGCCAGAATGACTTCGAACTTCTCCCGGACTTGCCTTCAGAGCCCTTTCGACAGCCAGTCAGGGATTTCTCGTCTCCACCCTTTGCGAGGAAGTAAGATTTTTTTTTTTCTTCCGAACACTGATTTCTTGAACACCAAAATCCTCAATTTGGTGGACTGGGCAGGAAGGCAAGGTGAGTCATTTCACTTTGGGCTGCAGTTGAGATTCGTGTATGAATTCGAATCTGGCTATGAAGGCAGCCTCGGAAGAGGAGTAACAAAAATGGAGTCATGGCTGCATCCTTAGCTGTTGATGATTCAGGTGACTTTTTTTTTTTTTTTTTGCCTTTTCCATACAAAAAGCAGTTAAGGTATCTGGCAGAAGTTAATATAATACAATCGAATAAACAAAAGGAATCCAGGCAAAGGACAGCCATCAGAAAGACAGCAGTTCCTGAAGCCTACTTTGCCTCTGAGCTTCCTAGCAGCCCAACAATAGGGTAGAAACTTATCAGTTACTCAGGGGAAGCCAAGGTTTTTCAGGACCTGAGGTGTGAGAGAAACTTTTCCAGGAGCTCCTCCTCCAGGGAGAGAAGAATGGGCAAATCACACAGCCTTTAGGCAGCCCTCCTTAGTGGTCTTCCTCCTATGGTTGACATTCATTCAGGTCGTTCAGCAGAACGTAAGAGTCCCTGTCTTTGCCTAGAATTTGGAGTCCAATTTGGCTCCTCTTCACTGCCAGTAAAGGGCAGCGAATGAGGTTTGCAATCAGTCGAGCAAGGGCTAGGACGGACGCCTCTTATGAAAATGTAAGACTTCCACTTAGAGGATCATGGAAGAGCTTGCATGGAACCAGCCTTCCTATGGATAACACTTCTAAATTCTAGGCAACATAGTTAGGAAAAAAAAAAAACTGAAGGCACCAGCAAATGACCAAGGGAGGCAGAAACCGAAAAGAAGTTGATCATTGAAAGACAGAGGCCGCAGGGAGTTGGGTCTGCATTTTAAGAGTTTCCCACCCCGCCTAGAGACACCCCTCTGCCGGTGCAGCAGGGAGCAGCTAGAGCCCAGGGAGAAAGGTGTCGTCTCTTTGGCTTGAGGTGTCCAGGGACAGAGCTCAGGGCTGCCAGAACGGGAGAAAATGGATGAGTAGAAATCTCAGGAAGGAGGAGGGAGCCAGAGAGGAAAAGCCTCAAAATCCGTGGATAAACTCCCTCCACATCATTCTCTAATCTAAGGCAATAGATGTCAAGACATGTCATTTATCTGAAATAGTTTTAAGTAATAAGGATGTGGATTTTCAAAGAGAAGGGGAAGGGAGAGATCAGAACATGTCCCACTCTTCCTCCCCAACACACACCCAGCTGTTGAGAGGTCCGTCCTCCCCATCCTCGTGCTCACGCTCCTGGGACTTCAGTGACTCCTCAGAAGAAGAGACCTCCCCTCCCCTGGGTATCATAATTCCTGTCCGATTGAGATCGTTTTAAACAGTCCAGTTACTTCATAGTAACATTCAGGATTCCGATCCTGTGGTGCCAAGGGCTTTCTGGCAGGGCTGTGACTTCTGAAATTAACTCAGCCTGGAGAAGCCATACCTCTGAGATAATGTAATGTAAGGACTGTAATCTAGAAACTTTCCATCTGAAAGCATAACAAATATCTGACAAACCAGTATTTTAGGTTTTGGAGAATCAATAATTCTTGTGGCATTTTTTAATATCCCTCAAGTTATGAACTCAAAGAACTTGTTTTGTTTTAATGCCACATTTTCTTCGGGATCACGTATTTATACTCAGGGAAAATCATTTCTTTATTATATAATTCTTTGGAACGCTCTAACACGAAACAACTGAATCAAATTGGAATCTGCACCAGGTCCCGGATTTTGTTTTGTTGTTTTGTTTTGTTTTTCATTCACTAAAAGAAAAATGTTAGGGTCCCTACGAGGTATGAGATGCTGTGCTCAGCACTTAAAGACAACAAAAACAAAGTATCTTACAAAGCTCAAAACTAGTAAGGGAAATACAACATGGACCCCCTCCAAACCCCTCCAAAAAACCCAAACAAACATGTACCCAAATGACTGGCATATATGGCAGAACGTGATCATTATCAGAGTTTTTCCAAATTGTACCCAGCCGGGAGGATGAGAGAGAGTTTTATGACCGGGGTCCTAGAATTTGATGTGAGGCCCTTGCAGCTGAGAGAGGTTTTGATATGAGGCCAAGGAAGAAGGTCGTTGCTCTTGGAGAACTGACCCTGGAAAAGTGTGGGGACCCAGGCTGGAAGGACCCTGAACTCAGTGGGCAGCAAGAAGCCACTGGAAGATTCTGAGAACCATCCTGACCCAGTATCACATTTCTACAATATACATTTAAGATGGTCAGCGAGTGAACCAAGATGCAGAGAGACTGCTGTCAGTTTGCTAACTCGACCTCTCAAGTCTATTTTCTGAAACAGTCTATTGTCCAGTAAATTACACTTTAAAATATCTCTGAGCTCCCGGGCGCCTGGGTGGCTCAGATGGTTAAGCGTCTGCCTTCGGCTCAGGTCATGATCCCAGGGTCCTGGGATCGAGTCCCACATCGGGCTCCCGGCTCAGCGGGGAGCCTGCTTCTCCCTCTGACCCTCGCCCCTCTCATGCTATTTCTCTCTCGCTCGCTCTCTAAAAAATAAATAAAATCTTTAAAAAAAAAAAATATCTCTGAGCTCCCATTTCATGTTCAGCCAAACTGGCATTTAAAGCGTAACAATGGAATGAAACATTCTTCGGGTGGAAAGGAACTGTGTTAAGTGTGCTGACCAGCTCCGAGCTTGCTGGAAATGTCAGCCAACGGTAGAAAGCCCTTGTTTTCCTATCTGTGGGGACAGATGACCTGTGCTGGGGGTCCCTAGGTGCTGAGAGCTCCCTGAAGGAGGGCAGCCCACACTCACTCCTGGAGGCCTCCGGGGGGATCCGGGCAGGGGACACCAGACTCACCGCTGATGTAGAAGGCCTTGTAGTGCCCCAGGCGGACTGTCTGAAGGGCTCCGTACTCTCCAGCCGCCCCACTGTTGGGGTGAAACAGCACCTGGGAAAGAGGAACAGAGCTTCCTAACCAGACAGCCATGCTGGATACTCCCTGGAAAGCATTCCTTTCTCTGTCATGGTGTCTGGCCCACCAGGCCCACCCCACCCTGGCCCGAAACACTGACCAACACGGGCCTGTGGGCCACACCGGCCAACCCCCTGGGGGGCCTCCACGAAGTAGCTATTTGGCCAGTTAATTAATCAGAGTGGGCTGCCGCTGTGGTCAGATTCCTAGGCCTGGTACCAGCTACAGAATGCACAGGGTCCAGTGCAAAATCAAAGTGAGAAAAAGCTTGTTCAACATTGAAGAATTTCAAGATGGCACAGCACCTGCTCTTGAAACCAGCTGCAGGGCTGTCCTAAGTGCGGGGGGCGGGGGGGATGTGACTGCACCGGGTCACACACACGCTGGGGCCCCAGCCCTCAGGTTCAAGATAGGGCCTGGGGACCTGCCTGTCTTACAGATCTTCCCAGGGATTCTGACGCAGGTGTTCCTCAGATCTCCTTGGAAAAACGGCTTCTTCAGCATCCAGTTGATTTTCTCGCTCTCCCTGGAGCAAGGGTGGCATAAGAAGGCATCCTCGAGAGGACAGCTCCGCATGATTTCTCCAGAACTGGGCACAGCCAAACATGGATGTCCTCACCTTTGACTCAATCCCACCCCACTCAGACTAAGGAAACTCCCTCATCAGGCCATCGATGAAAGAATCACCCTACAGAGTGGAAACACCTAATTCGGGCTTTGCCAAGGGCGGGATCTGGTAGAAAATAAATGACCGGTGTCCTTGGTCAGTTGGTGGGTTTGGGCTGCAAGCGGGAGACCGCCGTGGTATGAATCATGACCAATATATATCACTGGAAAGGCGCTTACGCGATTCAAAGTTTCCATGGGGCTTAAAAAAAAAATGAGAAACATCTGTTGGAGCAGTAAATAGCCGTCCCCCCAAGTTTCCCGGCTGCGAAAGGATGCCAAGGGCGGGGCTCCTCCCACACCTGCAGCTTCCGTGCTCTGCTCTCGTGACAGTCCCCGCAAGGCCCCCAGCCAGCGTGATGACAGCAGGCTCCTTCCAAACAGGAAAAGAAGTCATAACTCAAAACCCACTCTTCTGCCAGGCCTGCAGGAAGCCAAGCCCGTCACTGCAGGAGGCCATTCGGTTTCCTTCTGGAGAAGGCAGGAAGTGGGGGACGTGGAAAATCATCTTGTCCACCGACCTAAGACGCACTCAGACATCCAGGAAGTGGGAGTCGCGCTCCGCTGGTTCAAGTCATGGACACGATTTGAGTCTCAGTCACAGACACTCCAACAGGGTGGGCTGCCACGTCCAGGATATTTATGCAGCGTTACCAGAGGCAACTTGCAAAATCCAAGAGGAAGAGGAAGCAAAACTTCAGGTTGGCTCCGGCTCGGAAACCGGGATGGGTTTTGTTTCCCTTCGTGCAGACTGGCCAGGGCGGTCTTGTTTCTATCAACAGAGGAAGAAGGCTGGCAAATTTACACATGAATCACCGCTGAAGATGGGTCCTCTCCCGGGGGGGGGGGCGGGGGGACACCCCGCCCAAATTTCAAAGATGACTTTATCTTCTGCAACCACGGTGCACCTTCCTACTTGCCTTTCCTACCTGTTTGCTTTGTTTCATTTTTGTTTTGTTGTTTTAAGCAGGAGAGCATGTCCTCGGGCCCTGGAGGCTGGTGTATATCACACACACACACACAGACACACACACACACACACACACACACGTGCGCGCGCAGGTGGAGCTGCAGAGCTCTGTCTCCAAACGTGGCCAGCCACTCCGCATGGCGGCTTTCACCGCTAGGGGCCTCCCTAAGAGAAGTGATGGAACTTCCAGAGCCTGCAACCCAGCTCCCATCTCCTCAATGTATGGCCTCCAGGGAGGTGCCACGTCTTTCAGGACCCACAGCTGTCCCAGACCGGTTTGGACCGGCAGATGCAGAGCCATTAAAGAAGCCTTCCCTTTGTTGACAATCTGTGGATTTGGTTGCCACCTGGAGCTGCAGTAGGACTCGACCCGTGGGGATGTGACAACATCCAGCTTCCATCCGGGACTCAGGCAAAAGTGCGATACCTGAGGCAGCCTCCTTTCCCCCTGCTCGTGGTTACCCTCAGTGCCCAGATGCAGACCCAGGAGCAAGACCACGGCAGGCTGGTGGTGGATGCTACGGGTTTTAAACACCACCCGACGTCCCAAGGGACCTCAAAGGAGATAATGAGAAGATCGTTCTGTAGGAAAACCCAGTAGCCCATGATTTGCCTTTAAGTAAACCCTCCACATCGGGCCTGAGTAGGTTGCCAGTGGGCCTGTGGCTCTAGGTGGCTTGAGCTCTTCATCTTGTGGTTACTTCATTTGCAAAACAGGGAAGAACCCCATTGCTGAGCCGTATTTGCATACTGTTTTTGAGATATCATCTAGGAGTTACTTTGAGCTTCTTGAAACTGGAGTGGTTTTCTAAACCACGCCCTGTGAGAACCCTTGTAAGCCCAGGACCCATCTGAGTGTGAACACAATTAAAGTGTGCTGCTTAAAACTTCCCTGGGGAGCCGCGAAGGTGTGCATACCCATATGCATATGAATGTATAGCTATATGATCACTCACTCTACCTCCTGGCCTCTCTTCAGCAAATTCAAGACGATTTACTCTAGTCTTTTCAGCAGGTGACCAGAAAAGACCAGACTCAGGGCCAACAATTACCTGTGCTGCCCTCGAACTCCAAATAAACTTATCTCAAGCGTCTTCACAAACACTGTGGGAATCTAGCTCTCTGGGAGGCTGGGTGGGGCCCGAAGGTGCCAGCACCCGAGCGCTTTTGCTCTAGAAGGTACCATCAGCGGCTTCCGGTAAGCAGTGCGGGCGGCTGTTTCCTCCTGGGCCCCGGGGTGCGGTCAGGGAGCCGACCAGCAGCCGCACTCTAGCTGCGTCCCCACACATCATGGGTCCCCACGAAAACCCCCAAGAGTGCTGTGGCTTGTGTCTCGTCTTCCTGCCGGGCGTCCCGGGCCCACCCCCGTCGGGCACTAGACCAGTAACTGTGCGGCCCCGAGCCTGGGCCTCGGTGACTCTGCACAAAGCAGCAACCAGCGAGGGAATGAGCGTTCTCGCGGCTGAGAACGGAAGTGAGCGCCAAGGAGCTGGCTTCCACAGGCACACCGACCACGTCAGGGAGCTCAGAGTCCTTGAAGCACTTCCTGGTGACCCCAATTATTCTATTAGTAGCTGTGGTAATAAACACTCGGGAGCACCTCTCCACTGACGTCTTCCATAACCCCCCAGGGTCACATACTGCAAACCTCCAGCCCAAAGGCGGAAACCATCTTCCTGCTGCTTTGCTGCCGCTCAGCCGTAGAGCTCAGCCTGGAAGGGTCTGCAGCTCTAGAAGGTTCCGTATTGCAGGAGAAGCCGTGCTTCTGCAGAGGGCATTTCAGGCACGTCTGACAAGCCCCAGAAACTGCATGAACGCTCACAGAAGCACGGGGGGCCCTCTCGGGGCCAGAGTGCTGGCCTGCCCCCAGCCGACTGAGGGCCGGGGGCAGCTTCGGTGACGGCCACCGTACATCTGAGCAGCATTTGAGTCACTTCCATGTGACCCTCGGTAAAGACACAAATAGACCCTTTGATGTGTGGGTCCCAAACTGAGAAGCCATGTGCTCGCTAGGCCCTACAAAGGGGTTTGGGGTTCCCTCCGCCCACTTCCTCTTCCTTTGGGTGAAAGGAAAACACATGGAAATGACATGGAAAGGCCATCGGGCCCGACACATCCTGGCTGTCACTGCCCCCGAGTGCCTCAGCACACAGGAGGAGGGGACCCTGCGGTGCAGGTGCTGCAAAGTCACAGGCCGGGCCCTCCGGGAGCCAGGGCGGGGGGGTGGGGAAGGTCAGGGGCATAAAGCCCTTGTTGGCCCTGCCATTCAAGAGCTGTTTCGTTTATGTGTCTGTTCATTCATTTGTTCATCAGATCCACGTTGACTGCATGCTGGCTGGGTGCCAGGGATTGTGAAGTGCACTGAGAATTCTTGGTGAAATCCTTGCCTTCTGGAAAGTTCCATTCTAGTCGGGGAGCCCCACGATACACAAGTCACTCACACTACTCAGCCATCTCATCCAACAAAAACGTGCCAGGTGCCTACGATGTGTCAGAAAACTCAATAATTATGAAAAAAAATCCTGTGGTATGGGGAATCAGCACGCCTGTATATAAGTCTGGATTGGCAAACTGGATTGATCGTAGGGGAAGAGGGGGAGAGGAGTGGAAAGAGAGGTTTGTCTCAAAGAGGTCGTCCATCAGGCCTTCTCAAACTAGGCCTGGAGCAGCCACCTCTATGCATCGTCCAAGGATGGTTCTCTTTGCACAAAGGTGGCCCCGGATGAGAGGCAGCAGGCCAATCTCCTGAAGAGCCTGAGCAGAGCACACACCTCCTCCACTTACCCTGTGCCCAGTCTGCGACCAGCCAAAGAGCACCTCAGACGCATCCAAACCGTCAAAGTGCCGGTCCTGGGGCAGGCTGGCCCCGGCCAGAGCTACCACAGTGGGGAAGATGTCCAGCACACTGCAGGAAGAACAAGACAGCGTCAGCCCCAACTATTCCCAGACTCTCCCTGGCCACACTGTGGTCCAGGCCCACCCAAACCAGCCCAGACTGAGCACCTACATCCTCCTTCGTGGCCCGTCCCCCTCTGCTTGCCTCTCCTTTCTTCGGGTTCCACCTGGGTTTCTGCTCCTGGAAGAGGCAGAATGGCACGGTGGTTGTGCACCCAGACCCTGTGGCTGAGAGTTACCTGGCCTCAAATCCCAGGGTTGCATCTCTCTGGCTTCTCAATGCCTCAGTATTCTATTCTCTAAAATGGGCATGATGATAATAGTGCCCACCTCACGGGGTACTGTGTGGATGAGACACACAGAGAAGGCATGTAGAAGACCTCTGAACGGACTCACTGAGTGTTTGTGTTATAATTATTCACAAGAAGGGCACCTGGGTGGCTCGGTCAGTTACGCATCTGCCTTCAGCTCAGGTCATGACCCTAGGGTCCTGGGATCAAGCCCCTCGTCAGGCTCCCTGCTCAGCGAGGAGTCAGCTTCTCCCTCTCCCTCTGCCCCTCCTCCCTCTTGTGCTCTCTCTCTCTCTCAACTAAATAAATAAAATCTTTTTAAAAATCAAAATAAAAAATAATCATTCACAAGAGCCTCCCTATGGACCTAAGAATGAAGGGGTTCTACCTGTCACCAGTTAAGCCACAGCCACTAGCTGAGAGGGGACAGAGTGTGACAGGTACCTGCTGGAGAATGTCCACTTCATTATTCCTTCCCTGGGTCTCCATGTCACAAATATTTAGTCTTTGTTTAAAATGCCACGGTACGTGAAACATTGCACCCCTTTATCTCAGTTGCTTTTCCCCCATTACAAAATAGTAAATGTTTACGGTAGGGGAAAAAAAAATAGAACATCCAGAAACATAAAAGAGGGAACAACGCACAAATAGTGCATTACCCAAAGCTACCATTTTGTTATCCTTTTGGTGGATTTTGTTCATGCGATTTTTTTTTAAGTCATGTGGTACAATTTTACTCTATTCTAGGGCACATCTCCTGCCAGCCTGCTGTGCCTTCTCAGAAAAAAGCTCTCTAGCATAAACCAATGGACTGTCCTTTCAACAAAGCTGTTTAGATCCAAGGGCCAGGCCAACTGAGTCAGTGGGCTGTGATGCAGTCAGGAAGGCAGGGCCAAGGCGAGGGGTACTCCCCGGGAGAGAGGCCCTGGTTTGCCTGAGGCTGGGCACAGCACCGAGCTTCAGGCACACTTTTAGGGAGGCCTCAGAGGCCACACCTCCCACTGTCACCACCCAGAGGTTCCGGGAGGGGTTCTCTGCCCAGCAAGAGGGGCTGTGGGGAGGGACTGAGCTTCTGCCCACCGTGTGGCCCTGCCTACAACCCCGGGGCAGAATCTCTCCCTGGACGATGGCACAGAGTGTTTCTGGTTTGCCTTCAGCTTTCACGGGCCACACAGCTGGTGGCTTATCTCTGGAGATACGCGTTCCAAGAGGTGGCATCCCACATGGGCCAAGTCAGGAGTGCTGAGTAAGCACTAACAGAGTCCAGCACAGTCCAGAAACCTGTCCAGAGTCCAAGGATCCTGGGACAAACTGGGCAGCACAGAGCACTGCAGTGCAGTCTGAGAAGGCCATGGTGGCCAGGGGCTGTTGGTTCGAGCTTTCTCTAAATTGCACCCCGAAGAGAGACCAGCATCACAAATGGGTCACATCAATGAGCAAGAAAAACAGGATCTGTGTTCGACTGGAACCTATGACATACTTTCTCTTTCCATCTTACGTTTTCTCCCTGGTATCAGGAGGCTTCACATCCTCTAATGGAAGAAAGCATGAAGTCTAATGTGCTTGGGACCCTAGCATCTCAGAATTGGTCAGGATGCTCAGAGGTACCTTGCCCACCCAGAGCATAAAGAAAACCTTGGCCCACGAGAAAATCTTCAACATCTCCGATGACTTGCCAATCCAGCACTGATTGTCAAGCCCAGGCTGTCACCCAGTCTTTCCTTCTGTGCTGGGGGAAGCCAAGCCCCTGAAGTTAGTCCTGGAAGAGGGAGAGGTTCCTTGGCACTCACGGTCCCAGTGCCATCCCAGGGCTGGGCCCCCAGCTGAGGCATGAGCTTAGAGAAAATGTTGGTCTTACAGAGGCCACCAAAGGAAGCCCAGCTGCTCCCAACCTCAAAACCCACCCAAGATATTTACCCCAAAGATACAAATGTAGGGATCCGAAGGGGTACGTGCACCCCGATGTTTATAGCAGCAATGTCCACAATAGCCAAACTGTGGAAAGAGCC